ATCAGCATCACGCACCTATGTCATCGTCGCCGATTCCACCACCGTCTTCTGTACCAACCGACTTGCGTTGATCCGTCAGACTGCCTAGTCCGACCCAACCGAACTCGTTCGACTGTATGACACGCTCAAGGCTCCCAAATCATCTTCACGAATTTCCATCCATCACATGATAATTTCATCTCAGCTGGCATGACTTCCCGCAACGCCTTCAAGCATCCCTGTTGTTCCAATAAATCTTTCACCCGTGTCTGCCATAACCCAAGGTTTTCAATTCCGTGAACTTCTCCACCTCAAACTAGGTACCCGTTGGCGCCATAGCTCTTCGTATGACTCACACTGTGAAAATTAACCGAGCTTCCACTGCAATGCCTCAAGTACACGAGCAAAACCTGATGAGGTACACCCTCATGTACTAATAGCAAAATCCAACCAAACTTGGTCTTTTCACGTAGCTCCTATGCACAACTCCTGACGCTAGCTATTGCTTTTGCCAAGCCCCTGTTTCGCTGATGGATTTTCTCCTTCCGCCGATTGATTTGCCTGCCTATCTCCGTGTCACGTGGAGACTCGGTCTCCGTTTTGGTCCAAACAAATCTCTGAAGTCTCTGCCGCCGTGCCACCAGCGAACAAGCCAGCTATCTCAACCATCAGGGTAGCCCAGCGCGTACCAGTCAGCAGCCATGGGCCAGCAAGCGGCCGTCCGTCCAGCCGCGTCCAACTGAGCCTTTGGCCGTATCGCCTCGCCTCGCCGCAGCCTCCCGGCTGCCATGCGCACGCGCGCCTGTACACTCGCTCGATCGATCCAGATCGATCGCCGCACGTCCCTTGTTGCTGCTTTCTGATCTCGTCGAGAACTCTGCTAGCTTCCCATTGCTTCTTTTCCGCTGCTGTCCGATTATGCCGATATCCACGCACGTCGTTCACGACGAACGAAATCAACCCACGGTTCGGCCACCTCTTGATCAACACAACGACCTTCGAATAACCTAGCTCATGATACCACTTGTTAGAATAAATCCGAGGTCACCGTTAATCATTCGAGGACCAAGCAATCACACGAGCACGACACCGAGATTTGTTCTAACAAGGTTCACCGATATGGCTACATCCTTGGGGCCTGACTATGGGCGCTCCTCCCCATGACACCGCTACAATACCGCACCCGGTCGCCCTGGACACCGGCACATGCCGCCGGCTTCCCCTGCATTCCGGTGCTATTATGTTGGCATAGGTTACATCGTGTGTCTACCCTCGCTATATAAGAGAGGCCTAGGATACAAGTGTCCTACTAGGACACGATTCCACATCCTATGTAAACACGATACAACTACAAGTCCAACTGTAACTTACCTTGTACACTATATTCGACACAACTCCAACACTGCCCCTCTCAAGTCGTCACGTTTTCAGCTGCAAGCGCAGAAAGTGTGCATGCATACGCTGCTCCTCTCAGGTCGTCGCACGTCCATATATATCAATTTCTTCTCCAAAAAATTGATCCACATCATGCGCCTGCATGCGTTACTAGGCCGTGTTCTCCTTCCCGGCTTTCGCCACCACAACAGCCACTGCCCGGTAGCTATATCAAGCAGCAGTACCGTGGGAAGACCACCTGCTACAAATTTGGAGCCTCAGTGCGCAAGGCGTCCGTACCTCTCCTTTCCCCTTCCGCGCGATGGATGCATCTGGGACTGGGAGGCTGCCCAAACCACGGAGCTGTGTCGCCCGCTAATTCATGGTGCTAACCGCCATCGCCGGTGCCCAGTGGCCAGTGGGTAGTTTTGTACATCCTATTTTTCATTTTTGGCGGTGAACTCCGTCCGCGTCATCGTGAGTTGATCACGCTTCTCTGTCCTCCTTCCATCATTTGCAAAAGCTGCGTCATGAAGAAACGATGGCGTGCGAGGGTCTACACTCTACGGCCCTCTTCCATCTTACTTCTCTCCCCTTTCCTTTTATTATCGTCCGCTAATTCATCACGCTAACCGCCATCGCCCGTGCCGAGTGCGACCGTCGTGCTTGGCCACGGCCGAAATCACGGCAGGTTAGCAAGTTTAGGCGGCCGGGCATTATGAAGCCAAAAATGGGAAACTGTGCACGCCACGCAAACCCCACTACGGATACGGAGGCGCTGCGCCTGCGCAGGCTGCGCGAGCGAGAACTGCCAGGCGACGATCGCACTTCACTCCCTCTCAGCACGCCGCCGCGGCTATAAAATGCGGCGCCATCCCCCACAGGAACGATCACACTTCACTCTCTGCCTTCTCTTGCTCTCTAGGCTCGGAGCCGCTGATCCGGCTGCCGACGGAGAATGGGCATGCCCCTGCCCCTGCGCCTGGCCCTGCCGCGTCGCCGGCGGAGGAAGGGGTGACGGAGTGGGCCGTGCTTGTTGCCGGCTCCTCCGGCTACGAGAACTACCGGCATCAGGTGAGACGAGAGTCCTCAATGCAGCTCGTACATCATTCATTCACTATATGGAAATTTTGCCAGCTTGTCAAATTTCTGTGAGTGCTTGCTCTTGTTGATGCACGTACGACGTGCAGGCCGATGTGTGCCACGCCTACCAGATCCTGAAGAAGGGAGGCCTCAAGGATGAGAACATTGTGGTGTTTATGTACGATGACATCGCCAACAGCCCTGACAACCCAAGGCGTGGAGTCGTCATCAACCATCCTAAAGGCAAAGATGTCTACCATGGTGTTCCCAAGGTATCATTAGTTCCCTTTAATTCAAACAAGAGTGTTGTTTGATGTAAAGAATGCATGGCGTTGTATTCCTAAATTCCTACCAATGACTGATGATCAACTTTCTCACAGGACTACACTGGTGACCAGGTCACTGCTAAAAACTTCTATGCAGTTCTCTTGGGGAACAAAACCGCAGTTACCGGAGGGAGTAGGAAGGTGATAAACAGCAAACCAGAGGATCACATCTTCATCTTCTACTCGGATCATGGGTCTCCTGGTTCACTTGGTACATGCATAATCCCACATAAACGATCTTGCAGTTCAGCTGATATATATGTTTTGCACTATAACTCAGCTAACTTTATCAAACTTTTAGGTATGCCCAACTCACCAGATGTTTATGCTGACGACTTCATCAAAGTGTTACGGCAAAAGCATGCTTCCAAAAGCTATTCGAAAATGGTATGTATCCTTTATTTTCTTTTTCCCTTAAAAATTATATATTTTTCAATCTGGAACGGTATGTATGCTTTGAGTCCCATCTCTAATGAGAATTTTGGCAGATCATATATGTTGAAGCGTGTGAAAGTGGCAGCATCTTTGAGGGTTTAATGCCACAAGATCACAATATTTATGTTACAACGGCATCAAATGCGGTAGAAAGTAGCTGGGCAGCATACTGCCCTGAGGATGGAACACCACCTCCTCCTGAATATTTTACCTGTTTAGGTGACTTATACAGTGTTTCTTGGATGGAAGACAGGTAATAAGCATCAGCTAGCTGTAATATATGTAGTACAATGTACAAGTTTGTATCAGTTATCCACAATCATGACGCTTGCTTGCTATTCTGAACCATTCGATCCTGATTAATTTGCAGTGAAGCTCACGATCTAAAGAACGAAACCATCAAGGAGCAGTACGAGGTGGTGAAAGCGAGAACGGCACCCCGAAATGAGTCCATTAGAGGTTCTCATGTCATGGAGTATGGCGACAAGACTTTCAAGGAGGACATGCTTTTTCTCTACCAAGGTTTCGATCCTGCAAAGTCAAGCATCAGAAACAGGCCGCTGCCTATGCCCAGCCTGAAGAGTGCAATCAAGCAAAGAGATGCCGATGTTCTCTTCATGTGGAAGAAGGTAACAAAAATCCCACTTAGTAGATGCCGATATCTTGTCTAGTTCATCTTCTCTGTTACGTACTAAGTTTCATGTGTTTTGTTTTCACTATTTTTTCTGCTAATGTATGTTCTCGCTTTCAGTATGAGAAGTTGAATGGGGGATCAGAAGAGAAGCAGAGGGCTCTCAGGGAGGTCAAAGAAACCGTGCTGCACAGGAAGCATCTGGACACCAGTATCGATTTCATCGGGAAGCTCGTCTTCGGATTCGACAAGGGGCCTTCGGTGCTCGAGGCTGTTAGAGGCTCTGGCCAGCCATTGGTCGACGATTGGGATTGTCTGAAGACGATGGTGAGTGTAACATTTTCGTACTATGCAACACCCTGCACTCTTTCTGTTTCCGGTTGAACTTACTCTGTAGTATGTACTGATGCCATATGCCAGGTGCGAGTGTTCGAGTCCCAGTGCGGATCACTCGCTCAGTACGGCATGAAACACACGAGGGCGTTCGCAAACATGTGCAACAATGGCGTCTCCGAGGCCGAGATGAAGGAAGCGAGCATCAGCGCTTGCGACGGCTACGACATGGGGAAGTGGAGCCCGTTGGTTCGAGGGCACAGCGCCTGACCCGCTGCACTGAAGTACAGTACATGGGAGCAGTAGCAAACGCTCCAGCGAGATTCCTAGCTAGATCTCATATATGGTGTACATAAATACATAATACATTGGTATACAAGAAAGAAGAAACCGCCCAACACGGCGCCCCTGTGGCGTTGGGTTAATCAGTAGCGTATGGTCGTGCCTTTGTAAAACAAATTTGACTGCAATCAACTGAAAGGCAATGATTATTATGTAGCAAAAGTGTGTGAATGTCTTTGCATGACAGTGCCATCTCTTTTTTTTTTTTGAAGAATTCTTGACAGTGCCATCTGATTTGGTAATGGTAATAATAAATAGGTGAGCCATGATTAGTGGACCAAAACTGATGACCCATTGTAGTAGGGTAGTGATCCTCCTACAGGCAGCCCTACCAAGATCACTTACATAAGCTATTGCTGACAAGATGAGATTAAGATCTTTGTGAAGCTCCCTTGATGCTAGTGTGGATTTGTCTTTCGCAAGTCGTTCGGTCTCGGGCCCGCATACCAGTATGCGAGAACTGAAGGTTATTCCAGGCGGCAATCTGAACTAATCAATTAACCTGCATTGATACACCAGTTTTCAGCAGGTTAGTGACTTGCTTCTTCAGACTCATAGTGTACTGTAATATACTCCCTCCGTTTCTAAATAAGTCTTTGGAGAGATTTTACTATGGACCACATACGGAGCAAAATGAATGAATATATACTCTAAAATGCATCTATATACATCCGTATGTGGTCCATAGTGAAATCTCAACAAAGACTTATATTCAGGACGGAGGGAGTAGAAGGGCATTCAGATGCTCTCCCAACTGAAAACAAGAGAAATTTTTTTAGGAGCCCTTACATGATTTCTTGAGGAAGGAGATGAAGACCACGATGAGGGCCAGCCCTGCCAAGATGCCTATGATTATGGCCAGGGTCCGCCCCACGTCATCTTGCGAATAATCTTCTTAGCAGCAAAAGAAAACCAGACGATCTGATTAGAATAAGCATATACAGTAGTACTGGTACAAAGCTAGCTAGATGCGCACTCTCGGTCTCTTTCCATCTTGTTTATCGGGAATATATTCAGAATAGGAGTGGTTGGCCGGCCCTCGCCGTCAGCCGCCGCCCGCCGGCAAGGTCTATTGTCAGTCCCACAATGTGCGCGCCTATCGCGGCCGCCGCACGGCCACAGCCCGCAGCCCTAGGCCCCGATATGCTGAAAAACCCGTGTCGTTTGGTGGCCATCAGAAAGTTCTCTGAACCTCTACTAGATCAACAAGTAAAGTTCGAATCTATGATAATGTGATGGCAGTCGCCTTTGGTGTTTCATTGGACCAGACCAGAGAACATATCATCATGACTTGTTGATGTCACGTCAGAGTTCAGATCGCCTTAATGACACTGTTTGTCTCGCCTAATTGAGTCCGATATATGATGCTGCGGTCCCCTTGAAAGGCCGCCGGGATGATTAGCGTATCTTAGGGATACGACTAAATGGTGTCCGTGGAGCTGAGCGGCTGATATGGCTGACTAAGTGGTGTTCCAAATGATGATGGCAATCTTTGGTGCTCTCTGCAATCGAGTGACTGATCTCATGTCCCTTTCTCTGGTGCTAACCGGGACACACACAGACCTATTTGATCTACTAGCAGCTAATTAAGTACTGTATGTCCCCGCAAAAAAAAAGTTAAGTACTGTATGTGCTCCTAGTTTACACCTTGGTACGGTGATTGTAAGACCATCCATTGTGTAAGCCCATGATAAAGTGAAAAGGGCTACTTTCAAAGGACATATTCCGACCGATCTCACTTATCAGCTTTGGTAAGTTTACCCACTGCCCATCGGAATCAATTCCAACAGTGCAACTTGCTCCGCCAATTGGCAGTTGATCCCATCTACCGGGTGACACCACGGCATCAGGAGGTAATGTTGCAGAGAACGAATTCTGGCAATATTATTATATTTGATTCGTTGGTTCAAAGTTCAGACGAACAGAGGAGGTGCATGGTAACGTAACGTACCTTGTGACGGGCGGAAGTAGTAGCCGCTGGCCCAGTACCGGACGTAGCACTGCGCCAGGTGCACGTCGGCGGCCAGCGCCGTGCCGCAGGCGCCCGTGAGCTGCCCGACGGCCTGCGCCAGGCACGCCGTGCAGTCGGCGGCGGCCAGGTCGCCCAGGCACTGCGAGACCCCCTGCACGCTGCCGGAGCTGCCCACCCTGTACCCGTCGGCCGCGGCCTGCAACGCGCCCAGCACGGCGTCCCGGTCCCGGAGGAAGCCGGCGTCGGCGCTGGTGCTGGCGCTGCACTTGCGGTACACCATGGCCGTGTCGGGCCGGCCCACGAAGTTGGTGCCGTCGTAGCGCACGTAGCAGCCCTCCAGCTGCAGCGACGCCGCGTAGGCGCCCGGGCACACCTGGCCGAGCTGCGCCAGCGCGTCCCGCACGCACGCCGCGCACTCGCCGTTGCCCAGGTCCCCGCGGCACTGGTAGAGCCCGTACGCGGCGGCGCCTCCGTCGCCCGTGCCGTTGGCGAAGCTGCTGTACGCGGCGTTGGGCGCCGTGTTGGTGATGGAGGCGAGGAGCGACTTGAGGTTGCCCTCGTAGGGGGTGCCCGGCTGGTACTTGGACGGCGAGCACCCCGCGTAGATGAACGTGTCGGTGTCCGCACCCGTGAACCCGGCGGCGAGGCCGATCACGAGCAGGGCGACGGCGACGGCAGCATCAGCGGCGCGCCCACGGCGGAGTTGGTTGCCAAGGTGCATGGCCGACGATGACGAGACGAACTTGCACATGCGCGCGCGCGTGTTTGTCCTGGTTTCGATGGCTGTGGTGACCGGGGGAGTGGCCAGTGTCCTGGGAGTGAAGAGAAGGGTGATGGCGAGGACGCAGAATAAATGCGAGCGCGAGGATTCGTGGTGTGCGAGGCCGTCTCGAGATTTTATACACACGTCGACTCAGAGACGACGGTGCCTCCTCCTTGACTCTGGTCTGATCCCGTCCATATAACTAGGGACTAGGGAGCTCTGTTCCTTCAAATTAGACAGGACCGATGACCGCGAACGCTCGGTTTTCGTTCTGCTTTACTATCAGCTGGCGATAAGATGGCAGCATGGCCATATGATATGGTGGTGGCATGCATGGTCATGGTGCGAACATATTTCTTGTACGTACAATTGGACGATGGATAGCGCTGGTGCCGTTTTGACGAGTGCACCGTCGTAATGCCATCATCAATCAGTTTAAGGCGATTGCGATATGGTGACTGGCGCGACGTTCCCCGGTGCTTCTACACCGGCGGCACAGGAAGACGGGTTCGGGAGTTTGCGCACTTTTCTTCCCTGTTGGTGAGCATCTGTCGTTTCGAACTCTGAGATCATCCACGGCCGACCCACACGACACGAGCACCTGCGCCACTTTCCCTTGTCCATGATTGATGGTACCGGTACAAGTAGTATGGTGGTTACGTGGTTCCGGCGGGTACTTGAGCACCGAGTCGGAAACTGGCGGTGGTTGGTTGTGCCATGCCTACGGCAGCAGGGCTCTCGATCCATCGGATCACCGAGCCGAGCTGTTGGTTACCTTTGTCGCGGCCGGAGGGAGCCACGCCACCGGGGAAGGCATAGGATTCCTCGAGAGAAGGCATAGGATTCAGACGCGCGACAGCTGGGTCGACCAAACCGGGCCGGAGCGTCGCGAGTCGCGACGGGCGACCACCGTGCCTTGTGCGCATTGCTTGCTTGGCTCCTGAACGTTCGTAGGCCCCGCCGCCCCGGTGCTACGCACCTGCACATCGCGGCCATGCGCTCGGGGGCTCGCTTCGGCTCTTCCGCGTCGCCGTACCGATAGACAGTGATCCCGCCGCCCTCGCGTGCCGCCCGACCAGGTGCTCTGCAGCTGCAACCGGTGTATTTTCTCTACTACAGTAGTTTTTTGGTTTTCCCATTTGCTCTTTTTGCTTTTTCTGTCTTTCTTCTACTTTATGATGCTTCTTACTTTCGTTTTTATATTCGTGTTTTGTTTCCTTTTGAAATATTTCATGAACTTGTTGAAAAAAAATGAGTGGACGCTTTTAATATGTCATGGCATTAACTTAACATTGCGCAAGGAAACTTTTAGTTTTTAATGAACATTTTTTAAATGTTATGAAGTTTTTTTAATGGTACAAACATTTCTTTTGAAGTTGAGCAGGCAAACTTTAAATTTCCTAGACACTTTTCTAAAATATCAGGAAAATCTTGAACCGTGTGAACATTTTTAAATGTCATAAGTATTATTTTTTTCAATGGGACGAACTTTTTTATAAAATCGCATGAACACATTTTTAGATTTCATACACATTTTAAAAAATGATATGAACACATGTGTATACTTTTGAATGTCATGGATATTTTTTGGAATGATACACACATTATTTTAAATTCCTGATTATTATTATTTTACATTTTACGGATATTTTCAAATACATGGTGAACATTTGCAAAGAAAAACAAAATAATACGTGCTGCCTACCGTGCACTCCCTCCGTTCCTAAATATAAGTTTTTTTTAGATATTTCAATATGGACTACGGCCCAGCTCTTTTGGCCGATTCTCCCGGAATCTTGAGAATTGGGCCTCCCCCCAGCTTCTCCCAGAATCTTGAACACATATTTTTTTACAATCCTAGCTAGTTATGATGTAAACAACTAGGATTGTCAAAAAAATATGGGTTCAAGATTCCGGAAGAAGCTGGGTGGAAGGTCGATTCTCAAGATTCTGGGAGAATCGACCAAAAGAACTGGGCCTACATGCGGAGCAAAATGAGTAAATCTACACTCTAAAATATGTCTATATACATCCGTATGTACTACGTATTGAAATCTCTAAAAAGTCTTGTATCTAGAAATGGAGGGAGTAGATAACATGTGAAAAAAATACTGTGCTAATGAGGAGGGCGTGTGAGCACCTGCCTGGACATGTTACATGAGACGACCCTAACACAAGTTCGTTTGAGTTGAGATGAGCGTATGTGTCACAAGTCACAACAAGCAAGACATAGACCCGCTCGCTATCACTTGGTTGTATTGTTATGGTGCATTTGCTTCATAGGCTCTCTCTGTGGTGCAGGGATAGCTAACTTTCTAGTAGTTGTCACTTAATTGGTTTAAGAAAAAGAGGGATGGAGAAGGATAGGGAGGTGGTTTAGCAGAGCTGGCAAAATGTGACGGATGAAGCCAACTACCCTCAACTCGCTCACTTTGAAGTTTGAACCATTTTTTGGGAAATTCTCATCTCCACTGAAACAGGTCAAAGCCCCTCCCCTTTTTCTAGCTCTAATGCCACTATTGACATACTTCCCTATTGATTGCTCGTGATCTGGCCTCCTTTAGTCCTCCCACCCCGATTTTTCTCCTGAGTCGGCACCCTCCGTTAGGAATAATGCATGATGGCTAGACTAAGGTACACCCATGGTAACCCATTTCGCGGTGAGCTCCACTTGTTACCGCTGACGCATCCCCATCGTCTGACATACTGTGTGCACGACGCCTCCTCTCCCTTTGGTCAAATCAGATATAGTCCAGCCATAGCGCACTCCCACTCTGGACATCGTGAGTGGTCACTCAAAAAGGAGACGGGAGAATACTAGGGTTTTGGGTAGCGGATTGGGGAACCAGAAATCAAATGGACTAGGAAAAAAAGAGGCAAAAGCGTTTTGTAGAGGTCCTTCCATTAAGGAGGGACAAAAACGTTCCAGAAATGTCTCGGAGACAGTCAAAGCCTTTTACTGGATAGAAATGGCGGGGGAGAGTAGTTCTATTGACACACTTGACGGAACAGGGGCTAAAATAGGTAGGTCAAAAAATCAAGGGCAAACTTGAGTAGTCAACACTAACTAGGGGCACGTGTAAATACCCCCATTTTAGAAGAAAAAAAGATCTTCACATGAACAATTTTTATTAAAATACATGCAAATTGGTTGGAAGTACCCGGATATTTTTTTTAGGCCTGCAACATTTTTTATTACATATTTTACTCTTTCCGGTATTTAAATGGATTACGTGTAAATGAGTAAGATGATTTTTTTTCAAGTATACATGTGGTTGCCCAACGAATGGCATATAGACATGCCCATGAATAATAGACCATATATTGCACGTGATGAGCGGTACATAGGCTGGCCCGTCTAGAACTCTTATGTTATGGTTTTCATCGACATTTTTGGTATGTTCGGTTGGATTTTTGTTATCTAGTCTGTTTATTTTTCTTCAGGTCATACCGGGTTTTCGTCTTGCCTTTATATCTTTTTAATTTATTTTTTTAATTTTGTGATAATTTGATTGTAAAACATGAATTATTTTAAAATTCTTGCACATTTTAAAAAGACAGTGAATGTTTTTTTAAAGGCTTTGAACATTTTTAAACATTTAGAACATTTTTAAAGTTCATGAAAATTTTTTGAACAATATATGTTTTAAATATGACAAATAAATTGCTAGACAATTTTCTTCCAACATGCCGCTCCGGATTTTTAAAATGTTTCAGAGGTAAAGCCAAGTTTTATTGATGAAATACCACAATATGTGGGATACACTTTTGGATCATGGGGTTGACCAAGCTAGCCATGGTGCCCCTGACCTAAACAACGTGAAAACTTGGCTAGACTATGTGCTTCACCATTCGCAGCACAACCATGAAAACTAAATTTGTAATGTGGGCATTCTAGCAACAATCTATCAATGAGCATATCCACACCCTCATCGGCAGTGGTGGGGGTCCTGGATTTTTCAACTACTTTTTCTTTATATCGAATGATTTCAGAATCTTTCTAGAGTAGGAGCGCTACCTGGGCTGGCCCATGCGGGCATTTTAGCAACAATCTGTCGCTATGGGTTGTGTGTGGAGCGCAGTTCTGATCTTCACTTCGTTTTTCTTTCTACGGTTAACATCCAGTTTTCATCCAATAAAACTGGTCGTTAGATTTTTCTTACTGATGATAAAATATTGGAAGACTAAAAAAATTATTTTAAAAAATGTATGAAAATGAAAAACAACAAAATTTACAAAAATCCACGAATTTCTATACCACTATATAGTGTGTCAATAGCTTCAAATATTAGTCGTTGGGTATGCCCATCCAACGGTTAAGAGATGGCAAATCCGGGCATTATCATCCGTTGGATATAGTTTTCAACTCATAGGATTCTGCCACGTGGCCTTCTAATTGAACCCCCAACTCTACCATCTCATGTGTTCTAGAAACATCTATTCATATGCTTATCTGATACTATAATAAAAATAGACTAGAAAAATCTGGATTTTAGAGAGATAAGAACCAAGTTGAATCTTATTCAATACGATTTGAGGAAAGGAAATACCTATTCAAAATTACTTTCCCATGCTTTTTATATATATCTAAATAGCGTGCAAAGCACGTAAAATTTACTAGTATAAAATGTTCTTGGATATAGAAAATGTTGAGGAATTTTAAAATTTGTACACAAAATTTTCACAAACGTTCTTAAATTCTAAAAAGGTTCAGCTAATGAACAACGTCCTTTTATTCAAAAATATATATTTGGATATTTCTAGAAATTTGCTTATGAAACATTAGGAAGTACTCTAGAAAGAAAGAAAGAAAATAAAAATGAAACAAGAAAATATGAAAAAAAAATCAAAAAGAAAACCCTGAAGGAAAACAACTAAGGTAAAGGTTACCTTCGGCCGACCGATCGCGCGCGAGCGTCCGCCAGCTCCGTGTCCGTCTGATCGATTGTTGATCACACAGATGAGGCCAATATTATTTCTTGAGCTTG